ACTTTTTACTCATCTTCAAATAAGCTGGCCCAATTGTTCAAAAAAATAATCAAATATTGTGTATAAAATGTCTAAAAACATGAATAAAATCCACATTTTACATACAGATTTTTACTTTTTTTTTTTTTTAACTTTTTACTCATCTTCAAATAAGCTGGCCCAATCAAATGTGGCCCGTGAGCACAAAAACTTTCCGACTGCTTCATTGGAATGATGTCGGCAACAATACACGGTGGAGTTCAATTAGATGCGTGGAGTTGTGGAGCAGCACGGCGTCCATTAACTCAAGGTTTTGAATGCGGAGATGCTAGAAGACAATGTTAATGGCCACGGGTGCTCCAGCACTTTACCCTAAGTGCAACGCTGTTGCAAAATGCAAACATAAATGCTTTCTTATTGCTCAATGTGAAACGTAATACTCATACTCTTGCTATACTGTATTGCATTCAAAATGAAAGAAAAAAAAAACATCCTATGAATTAATTGAGAAAACTGATAAATCAGCCAGGATAAATCAGCATGTTTTAAAAGGACATCAGGACAAATTTGCTAATAAGCCTCAATTTGGTGTTAAAGACGCCACCTGGCTGCTCGCGCTTAAGCGGAATTACAACTTTTGCGAATTGTCTCAGGGAACGTGCGAAGATGAGGAGCCTGCAGGGAACAAACGAGCCTAATTACCAGATGAGCTATCTTAAAGCCGCACGGCGACACAGAAACTCAAGAGGTAAATAAGAATGAGCAGATTTGCTTCAGTCGTCTCGATCCCGGCTGATTGCCAGTTCATGGCGGGGCACATAGAGATGAACAATGAACTGGTCACCAGTCAATGTCAGGTCACGCCTAAACAAACAACGGATGGCAAGTCAGAATGGTTTAAATCCCTTTTGGTTTTGTTGCCAATCATTTTCAAGCCACCAATCAACAGACGGCAGAGTGTTGAGCACCGCCTTACGCGAGCATTCGAAAAAGCACCAGTCGGGACAATTCGGGTTGGATATTTGGGGTTTAGCGTTTTCCACTTCCACTTTCAGCGGAAAGACACTAAAATGTCATCATTAAAACGTAGCCCTACTTTACTACGACGTAAACAAAGTGTGCTCTTACCAAAATGAGTCCTGATATGAGGGAGGAGGTGCCCGTAAGAGCCACGTAGAACTTGGGTGTCAGGGTGTTGAGAAACATGCTTACTGTGGAGAGACCAGGAAGAAAGATGGCGGATTAGTGAAAGCTCTCCCCCACCCAAAAAAAAAAAAAAGATGACTGAGTCATTCATTGTGGGCAATTTTCAGTCACTTTTGGTTGCATTATTTCTAACAGGAAGTCGGAGGAGTATTGTTTGGTTTCCTGGTTTACACATTCAAGTTCTTTTTCTTTCCCTTTCACTTTCAACTTAATGGCTATTTGGTGGGAATGGGGACCTCGCCCCGCCACCAATAGCAGAATTTTTTTTTTGTTTTTTTTTAAACATTTATACTGAATTGTAATTTCGTATAAATGCTATAGCATGGTGGCAAAGGACTACTACTACTGTACTATTGTTAAAATGAAGCTCCTCAACTCACTGTAGCTTAATATGGAAGGGAAAAAAAAGATTTAAAACATGGTCATAAAACCTACATATTTAGACATGTTTGAGAGGAATTTATTGAAGGAGGGAAAGAGACGAATAAAGGATGGAGAGAGGAAGAATGAATTCATCAATGAAGGAAGAAAGAAAGGGGCTCGCCAGTGACTCCACCAGGTCAAAACAAAAACAAACACAGACTGGAAACCCTATCACTGGTCTTGAAACCCTAACCCTTATTTTAAACCTTAACCCTGACTTGGAAACAATAACCATTTTAGCAATAAATCGGTCTTCAGACTCATCATACCCTTGGAGCTTCAATTATTGAGTGGAACAATAATTGTCTTCATTCACATCAAAAGCCTTCGTCTTGGAGTAACAAGACACGTTCAATGATCGGGTTGTGCGCCGTAAGAGAAGATTAGCGTCGAACAATCAACCAGGCACGACGTGGCAGTGATTACCTTCATTAGCATTTGATGCAGTCAACATTTTTCTTTTAATGTCGTCAGAACACAATGCAAATCGAGCTTCTTTTGTTTGGTTGAACCCTTTCATGCACCCTGCAATCTGAGAACATGCTAAACTGTCCACTGTAGTAAGCACTGTCCCAGAAAGGGTTAAGCAAACGTAATGCTAATGAATTCCACTTTTCCGCGGGATGATCACGTTTCATGCAAATGTCATGTCGTTACAGGACATTCCACCGTGACACCAAACTCTTTTGTCTTCATTAAAATCGAATCGATTGGCTCATTCTGGGACTAATGAGGTCATACTCATTACATACAAATAGATAAGAAAAGTCAATTCAACTTTTCCAAGGCAGGATCAGGTTTCTTTCAATTTACATGTTGCTTTTCGTGAATATCAATTACATTTATCTAATTTATTTTAGTTTGAAAGACATCTGGCGATTAAAAAAAAAAAAAAACAACGAAAACAATAACCTGGAAATGTCAGCATTTTTACATTTTATGACGTGACATTGAGATATAACGCAGCACAATTTTGACCGATTAGCATTCGATCCATTGGTCAATTTCGTTTGCGACGGCAATGCAAATGAAGTCACTCTTTGTTGTTTCGTGTCATCCAGGCTTAACGTCGCACGTTTCTCCTTTATTAATATCCAATCCATACGTTAAGTGCTCCTCCTCTTCCTCTGTGGCTCGCTGCACTCGGAGCTCACAAGACAAAAATAGCCCGAGTCAGCAGTTACCACAGAAACACGATCGCTCTCTCTCACTGGGCTGTTGTGATTACACCCCCCCCCTCCACCCCCATTTATTATTTTATTTAAACGAGTGTTACCATGGCAACACAGAAAACTGCTTGCTGTCATTATACTAGCCAATGGTGGACAAACTGGAACACGGCTGGTTTAAGAAAAAAAAAATGCCTCTGGACTGATGTGAAAATAGTGTCGCCCCCTCACAAGCTGCTGCCAATCAAACATTGATCGTGAGCAGAAAAATCCCGTCTACTGTAACAGCTAGCGTGCCGTTCACGTTGCAGGCGTACAAGTGTTTCACGACCAGTTGTCAAAAATAAACACACCGGTCACTTCATGAGGCTCTTCAATCAGTTCGATTTTCAGACTACAAAATGAGATCATCTCACCGCGTGACCAAAACGACGATGTGTGATCATTTTTGGTTTTCGGGTGAGCTCACACTCTAATGAACACAGTCGGTCATTTTCATAAACTGATTTAGATTACAGGCGGTACAGTGGATGACTGGTTAGCATGTCCGCCTCATATTGCAGAAGTGCAGGGATTGCGGCTATGGCCTTCCTGTGTGGAGTTTGCAGTCATAGACAGTAAACACCAAAACTACACACATACACACACAAACACACACACACAAACTTTCAGAAACTATTTACAGGAAGGCTTTACAGTGGCTCACAGTTAGCCATAGAAGATATTTTAAAATTCTGCTCGTGCGCTATAAATCACTGAATGGTTTTACATTAAGGAAACGCTAATTGACTCTGAACCCAGTAGTGCTCTCAGGTCTGCAGACTCAAGTCAATTAGCGGAGCGCGGGTTTCAAAGCAAACACGGTGAAGCGGCATTTAGCCGTGATGCTGCGCACAAATAGAATACGTTAGTTGCCGACAGAAGTTGGTTTTTGGAGGATACAAAATGCTGTTGTCGTGTACGGTGCGAACACCTGAGTTCAAACACTGCTTCCTCGAACAGAGGGACTTATCATGAAACAACAAAGCCCCCCAAAAACAGGGGCTGAACATTTAGGGTACTATTCCAATCATTGTGTTGATTTTCATATTCATCGCTCCCGCTAGCCACTGCCAAAAACACTAAGTGGCCGAAATCTTTGTGGAATTTTGTAGATAACAAGAAATGAGAACTTCAAACGTCTCCCACTTCAAACCCTCCATAAAGAATATCCGGGAAAAAAAACAACAACTGATGACTGAATCACAAGACCTAACCTATGGCCCTCATTGCTCTTCTCCCGAATAACAGTAATGTCCCATTTTGCATGATTTAAAGCGGAACTCAACCAAATAAGTCAAAACTCCTTGTTATATTGTAAATATGCATAATTTGGATGTGTCAATTTAGGGAACTCCACAAAATGTTGGCCTGTATGAGTTTTTGGTGGATATTTTAATTGAAACTTGTCAGTCAATTGGAGAAGGGTTACCCTGAGTAGGGGACAAAACAAAATTTTCTACAGGCAAGATCACACAAAAAAAAACGTTCCTGAGAAAGGCCTTTCTTTCCCTACAAATACACACACAAAAAAAAAATAATAGTAAAAAAATTCTACGCGACTCATCATCCGATTTTCCAAAAATTTGGTGCATTTAGTTATTAGCGATTCAAATTAGCGGCATTTTGAGAGAATCTAGTCACGTTGCTACCAAGAGGGTCATAAAAACAACGCGAATAGGTGAGTTTATCAGCAAATATCTGCGGGTAGTTTCCAGAGGGACAAAAAAAACAAAGTAAAAACAGGCAAATTGGTGAATTTTTGAAAAGCGTAACGCAAATAAGCGTGTAATTACAATTGAATGTGTGTTTAGACGGGAGGCCATAGCATCTATCCCCCCCCCCCCACACACACACACACACACAGACAGACACCTACATGTCCACACAGACAGCATACACAGTCGGAAGCGGCAAGTGAGAGAATGTGAGGCGAATCTCGGCGGGACCACCAGCTAGCTTGTGGGGCTAAAATGGTAGATCCCGGATTTCTACCACCAGCAACAACAGAAAGAGTAAGAGGAACTGCACGACGGATGGATAGCGAGCAAGATACATCTGCAGTTTCCCTCCCGTGGTTGATTCAAACACACAAGAGGCAGGAAGGACGGTGGCGACGGCGGTACTTACGTGACGACTCTGTGCCGAACATGGCTGGATCGGGAGCTCTGATGGAGAGAAAGGAGGATGAGGAGGAGGAGAGGGATGGAGGGGGGGGGGTGACAGAGAGAGGAGGGGAGGGGGTAGTGAGCAGGCAGCTACACAGCAGGGGTCATCAAAGAAACACAATGCAGCCGCCCGCCAGACGCGTAAAACGTCCCGGACGCCAAAAAATACAAAAGAGGCCTGGCGGAGCTTCACAAACGTCTTTAACGCCGACACTCCTCAGCGTCGGTCAGAGGCAGTTAGCGGCTGGCATGCCGCCTCGCTCTCTTGCTTGCTCGCTCACGTCCATCTTTATGCTTTTGTGTTGTCATTGCCCCTTGAAACGGGTTTGGGGGGCGGGGGGGGGCTATGAAGGAAGAAAAACCCGGGGACGGACGCCGAAGGTTCACTCAGACAATAGACACACGACACACGTGTGACGTCACAGCAAGGACGGATGGAAGAATGGATGGATGGATGAGGAAGGAGGGAGCGAGACGGGACAGAAAGGCATGAAGGGCAAATGGAAACGAGGATATGTTCATGTCACCATGGCCGACTATCACAGGATGATGATTATTATTATTAAGAAGCTCTCCATCTAATATGCATGTCAAGCCAAATTTGAATATAATGCAAATGGAAACAACTGACTTTAAAAAAAAAATCATTTTCACAGTTTCGAAATGTTTTTTACGACGTCGTCATGTAAATGAACGGTTCATGACGACGCCATTTTGATCATTTTTTTAAAGCTGATTTCAGATTTTTGGGGGGCATTTGGAGAAATTGTTTTCAAAGTTGCTGAAAAATGTTTCTGGCATTTTCGGCCTAAAAATGGAGGTCATGTAATAAAACAACCAAAATGACAATCATTATTTTAGCTAGTGGGGGGCCACCTAAAGCTACCCGTACATCAAAACGCTGTGAGAAAAGTATTAGCTCGCACGTGCTGACATTTAAAGACAAGCTATAGAGTATTTAGTCAGAGCCTAGTCTCAGAATGAGATACAAGACCAGTTTGGAGGGCTGAACTTGAAAATTAACTCCATTCAAATTCGACATGTCTACCAAATTCCATGTTGCTAAGTTGAAATTCAAGGGCTGAATTTCCGCAAAATATCAGCTCTCACTAAACATGCAATAAGTGTATTTTAGGTCAACCTCTGCAGGTTAAAATGAATGAGTCTAAGTCATTGTCACTTTTCCTTTTGCGCAGATAAAAATGCCTCTGGGGCTGATGTTAATTACATCAGAGGTTCCCTCCCCAAAGAGGAAGCATCCACTAGGAACAATTTTCAAGCTTGGGCCCCCTGTGGCCCAACGCTCGTACTGTGAGCGTTTTTTGTTTTCTTTGTAGGGACACAGACACAACATTTTCCGACAACCTGGAATTGGATAAACAAACATGCACTGCAAAAATGTTTCGGTGACATTAAGCACTATAGTCAAAGTGAACTTTTGCAGTTTTTCAGACTTTAGAGGACACCTGGGAAATAGTCAGAGTAAGCCTAAAATAGATTTTTTTTTTTAATATTATGTGGAACACTAATGAGCCAATAGGAAGTCATCAAAATTCACCGCAAAGCTCTGCCTACACACCACTATGGAAAACACTTTCGCCATTAAGCGTCGCCCACTTGTCTCGTGTAAGTGGTTTAAATGTAGAAGCACGTGCACAAAATCTCCAAAATAAGGTCATCTTGAAAGGTGCCCGTGGAAAATCTCCAAACTAACCATAAAACAGTTGTGGCTTCAAATTAAAATGTCACACCTTCCCTGTCCTTTTCGGTATGGCTATTTGGGACTTTTTTGCGGCTCTTTTCATTATGGACATGCCAACCAAATTCCATGTTGCTGAGTTTAACTGGCTTCGGGAGCTTAAGTTTCATCACTCAACAGAACTAGGAACAGCGCCCACCGTAACAAGGCAGCTTTGCGTGGTTCTCTCTAAATTTGGTTAATAGCAGCTAATAACATGCTAGCACTCTTTAACCGTAATTAGCATTGCAGTACAGGTGACGAGCGCCGCTAATTCTGTCAGCCACTGAAATAGTTGTGTGCATGCCGTGTAAAAGCACCTCAACGTGTGAGCCGTTAAAAAGACTTGGGAACAATGCACACGCCGTAAATCCCCTCGCCCACGCAAAAATCACACGCTAGCTAGCAGTTGCCAGGCAACTAAAAAGAAGCGCGAGAAGCAAGATGAGGAGATGGAGGGAGGAAGAACCTCGTCAGTTACGGCTCTGATGTGACAATTTTGCACGACCTGAACGTTTACAGCTCCAGAATCAAATCTAAAATTTTGGGAGATACAGTAGTTTATCCATCCCGCTACATCTGTACTTTAAAATAAAATCTAAATAACACTTGTACTGACATTTGTTTGTTTGTTTTTTCCTCCCGTGCGTTATTTCAACAGATCCCCAAAAATCTTTGAAACTTTTTTTTTTTTTTGCACAAGTGGGACTTCTGAAAAACGTGTTTTAGTCAGGATGGTTCTGCACTAAGATGTTAAAGTAAATGACGTGTAGGCGAGGAAGTGAAAGTTCAACAAGTTCAAAGTCTTTACTTCTGTAAATTTGTTATCCTGACATTTTGTTTAGAATGAAAAAGAGTGAACTTCACACTTGCATTACAATAAAAACGGTTAAAAATGACACACAGCGCATTCTTGTTGAGTTAAGAGATGTCTTACTTCAAACGTGGTTAACTTATTTTTATGCTTACGTGAGAATGTAAAAAGAATGAGACGAAGTGCAAAGCGAAGTTTGGTTGCATTTACACAATGATGGAAAGAATAATGTACAAATCCTTTGTTACGGTATTAAGTATATTTTTGAGGTGGCTTTACAATTGATTTTTCTGATGACCCTTTGACTTTTACCCCCTCCATTTGATATACAGTACTTTCTACGTCTATTTTAGTACATTTCTGAGTCAGACTTTTTGACTTGAGAAGAAGTTGAGTTAGTGGTTAGTCTTTATTTTATTTAAACGAGTATTCGCATTTTAAAGTACTGTTAGACCACCTCTGCCAACTTTACACCCGAAAAAAAATTCCTCAAATATGACTTGTATGGTAAAATTAACAATAATAATACGTCAGTTTTAGAAGACCATTTCCATCATTTGCAATATTACAATAGTTACCTGAACATGAGCAAGTTGCTAAGCCATTTAGCTTATTTGAGCTACACGAAATGGTCAAGATGTTAGGGACAGCTGTCAAGTGCCACACGGCAGTTTGACATTACAAAAAGTACATTTAATACACATTTAACCAACACGGATGCAAACGACCATGCAACATTTTTAAATGTAGTCGGCGTTGGTCTGTAATTTGTGTTAGCCAGTTAGCCGGCTAAGGAACTTTTTTGGTTTGTTTTAATATATTAAATGACAGTGGAGGCGTTATAATACTTGCGGCGGTAGGCTAGGTGGGAAGGTTATTTAAAGCGCTCACCTTTGTTTTTTGTTTTTTTTTAGTCCGCGGTGCTCAGATGCCTATTCGTGGATAGCATTTCTTCCTCCCCCAAGTAGTGGCTCCGGAGGAACCGAACATGTGCCCGGTATCCAGCGGCAGGGTCGCGGCGTGTCTACTGGGCTACGTGTCTGTTCGTGGTGTGTTCGTTGGCAGCCAGGCTAACGTGTACCAAGCTAGCAGGAGTCAGCCAGCCAAGCCAATGTGGACTGTTGGTTAGCTCCCGCCCGCCTGACGGTGTCGCTGTGGGCCTCCTTGAAACGCAACATACAGAGTTTTATCGGAGTAAAAGTTAAACACTGTATCGTCATCCTTTTGACAATAATTATTTCATTTTCATCCATCCATTATTTTAGCTATTTTATTTCCATACACCGTGTATTAAACGTGATAGTTAATTATGTTTTAAAACCATAAAATACACATTTATTTCACATGGAGCCCTGTTTTACATGAAATGACAAAGGACCTCTGGTATCCTGCTCACAAGCAAACTTGACAAAATATTTTTTACTTTTAAAACCAAGAGAACCATTTATTCCAGGTCCTCCACAATATATGACAATAATACGGTAAATATTTCTTTTGACTGTTCTGTTTGGGGTTTTTTTTTTGACAGGCATGTAAAATGACAGATCAATAATTGTATATATATTTTTTACGAATATCTCTTGCATCCTTCTGAGTTTGCTCAGCAACGTCAAGTGAAAGCACAATGCATTTTTCTGCTTAAAACATTTTTAGGTGAAAGGACTCCAGAAGTTCCTATGCAGCCAGCGTGCAACCAAATATTACCCCCCAAAAAGTAAATGCATGTCTTAAATAATAGATATTACCAGATTTAACAACCCCTGACATTACCTTCCTCTAGAATGTGCTTCACCTTTTTTCATTTGACTCTTCAATTTATTTGTGGACAGGCATGTAAAATGACACAAAAATTGAACAATATCAGCAGCTAAAAAAGCTTCAACTGTCAAATTTCCTTCTTTGACACATTGCTTATTATCGAGCTGATGCTTTCAACATTATTGACTGTTTGAAAAGGCAAACTGTGGCATTTAAAATGACTCATTTGGACTCCAAATATCTACATTAGATCACATTGAAAAAACAAAATCATCTATTTCCTTCTTTGACACATTGCTTATTATCGAGCTGATGCTTTCAACATTATTGACTGAAAAGCCAAACTGTGGCATTTAAAATGACTCATTCGGACTCCAAATATCTAAATCAGATCACATTGAAAAAAACAAAATCATCCTCACTTAGAGAGAACACCAGAAATTCTGAGACTCATTGGATAGAAAATTTGTTATTTAATGCAACATAACTGTGACCGAGTTACAATGATGTCATGGAAATAACCACCACACTGACAGAGGATGTGTCATACAGTTATATATATATGTATATATATTACAGTGTCTCGTTTTTTTTTTTTTAATTGTCATATAATACAGTCGGTCAGGTTCTGTCAAGTAAAAATAATCACAGGAGGAGAAGTGATACTTTTTTGTTGTTGTTTTACTTGTTTTTATTGTCATTTTTGATATTACTCGATGCAGCGCGGGACCAGTTAGTGAAGCTTGTCGGGCTGCTGGAGACTGATGAAGGCCGTACAGTCTGTCAGGAGAGAGAAAAACAGGACAAGCAGTGGAAGAAGAGTCCCCGCCTCCCCCAAAAGGGGGCGGGGGGGTGTCTGTTCGTGGTGTGTTCGTTGGCAGCCAGGCTAACGTGTACCAAGCTAGCAGGAGTCAGCCAGCCAAGCCAATGTGGACTGTTGGTTAGCTCCCGCCCGCCTGACGGTGTCGCTGTGGGCCTCCTTGAAACACAACATACAGAGTTTTATCGGAGTAAAAGTTAATTCTGTATCGTCATCCTTTTGACAACAATTATTTCATTTTCGCCCATCCATTATTTTAGCTGCTTTATTTCCATACACCGTGTATTAAACGTGATAGTTAATTGTGTTTTAAAACCATAAACTAAAAATAAAGTATTAAACGTGATAGTTAATTATGTTTTAAAACCATAAAATACACATTTATTTCACATGGAGCCCTGTTTTACATGAAATGACAAAGGACCTCTGGTATCCTGCTCACAAGCAAACTTGACAAAATATTTTTTACTTTTAAAACCAAGAGAACCATTTATTCCAGGTCCTCCACAATATATGACAATAATACGGTAAATATTTCTTTTGACTGTTCTGTTTGTTTGTTTTTGACAGGCATGTAAAATGACAGATCAATAATTGTATATATATTTTTTACGAATATCTCTTGCATCCTTCTGAGTTTGCTCAGCAACGTCAAGTGAAAGCACAATGCATTTTTTTAATTAAACCATTTTAGGTGAAAGGACTCCAGAAGTTCCTATGCAGCCAGCGTGCAACCAAATATTACCCCCCAAAAAGTAAATGCATGTCTTAAATAATAGCTATTGCCACATTTAACAACCCCTGACATTACCTCCCTCTAGAATGTGCTTCACCTTTTTTCATTTGACTCTTCAATTTATTTGTGGACAGGCATGTAAAATGACACAAAAATTGAACAATATCAGCAGCTAAAAAAGCTTCAACTGTCAAATTTCCTTCTTTGACACATTGCTTATTATCGAGCTGATGCTTTCAACATTATTGACTGTTTGAAAAGGCAAACTGTGGCATTTAAAATGACTCATTTGGACTCCAAATATCTACATTAGATCACATTGAAAAAACAAAATCATCTTCACTTAGAGAGAACACCAGAAATTCTGAGACTCATTGGATAGAAAATTTGTTATTTAATGCAACATAACTGTGACCGAGTTACAATGATGTCATGGAAATAACCACCACACTGACAGAGGATGTGTCATACAGTTATATATATATGTATATATATTACAGTGTCTCGTTTTTTTTTTTTTAATTGTCATATAATACAGTCGGTCAGGTTCTGTCAAGTAAAAATAATCACAGGAGGAGAAGTGATACTTTTTTGTTGTTGTTTTACTTGTTTTTATTGTCATTTTTGATATTACTGGATGCAGCGCGGGACCAGTTAGTGAAGCTTGTCGGGCTGCTGGAGACTGATGAAGGCCGTACAGTCTGTCAGGAGAGAGAAAAACAGGACAAGCAGTGGAAGAAGAGTCCCCGCCTCCCCCAAAAGGGGGTGGGGGGTTGAATGTTTTGCCAATGAGCACAATTGTTATTTTTTGTGTGGAAATTAATTACAAATAATTGCCTTTTTGCACACATTGCCTGCTGCCTTCTTGTTTGCTTTCTTTCCTATGTCAAGTATATATCTTTCCAATATAACATCTGATATAGCAGGGAGGCGCGCTTGTGTATGTATAAAAGAAAGGAACATCAATAAAAGGAGACATCCAATGAGTTAATTTGACATGCTTTATTTCCATACACCGTGTATTAAACGTGATAGTTAATTGTGTTTTAAAACCATAAACTAAAAATAAATCAATTTGATGTATTTTTAATTCAAACTCAAACCTCCTTTATTTTTTTTCCACATCAGCACAGAATGCGAAATTTAATCCGGGTAAATATATGGAAAATAAAAAGCTAAATTAAATGTAATCCATATACAGGTAAACTGAATTTCTAACGACTTCCGGCGTTTCCATGGTTACTTCTAAACTTGAACAATGCTGTAGTCGTTAAAACTAAATAAATAAAAAAACATTTATTTCACACGGATCCCTGTCCTCATCGATATCGATATTTATCATTTAAAACGATAGGTACCAGTCAGTGAAAGGACAGCTAAAAATGTCAATAAGACAATTTTCTGTATTCATAAAGTTATTTTAATCTCTAACGTCCGTTTACCAATTTTTATAGGACATGATGCTTAAATTTATCGGCGTGACAGCACACGTGTATGGGGAACAAAATGGTAAATTACACTGAAATGACAAAGGACCTTTGGTATCCTGCTCACAAGCAAACTTGACAAAATATGTTTTACTTTTAAAACCAAGAGAACCATTTATTCCAGGTCCTCCACAATATATAACAATAATACAGTAAATATTTCTTTTGACTGTTCTGTTTGTTTGTTTTTGACAGGCATGTAAAATGACAGATCAATAATTGTATATATATTTTTTTACTAACATCTATTGCATCCTTCTGAGTTTGCTCAGCAACGTCAAGTGAAAGCACAATGCATTTTTTTAATTAAACCATTTTAGGTGAAAGGACTCCAGAAGTTCCTATGTAGCCAGCGTGCAACCAAATACTGTATTACCCCCCAAAAAGTAAATGCATGTCTTAAATAATAGCTATTGCCACATTTAACAACCCCTGACATTACCTCCCTCTAGAATGTGCTTCACCTTTTTTCATTTGACTCTTCAATTTATTTGTGGACAGGCATGTAAAATGACACAAAAATTGAACAATATCAGCAGCTAAAAAAGCTTCAACTGTCAAATTTCCTTCTTTGACACATTGCTTATTATCGAGCTGATGCTTTCAACATTATTGACTGTTTGAAAAGGCAAACTGTGGCATTTAAAATGACTCATTTGGACTCCAAATATCTACATTAGATCACATTGAAAAAACAAAATCATCTTCACTTAGAGAGAACACCAGAAATTCTGAGACTCATTGGATAGAAAATTTGTTATTTAATGCAACATAACTGTGACCGAGTTACAATGATGTCATGGAAATAACCACCACACTGACAGAGGATGTGTCATACAGTTATATATATATGTATATATATTACAGTGTCTCGTTTTTTTTTTTGTCATATAATACAGTCGGTCAGGTTCTGTCAAGTAAAAATAATCACAGGAGGAGAAGTGATACTTTTTTGTTGTTGTTTTACTTGTTTTTATTGTCATTTTTGATATTACTGGATGCAGCGCGGGACCAGTTAGTGAAGCTTGTCGGGCTGCTGGAGACTGATGAAGGCCGTACAGTCTGTCAGGAGAGAGAAAAACAGGACAAGCAGTGGAAGAAGAGTCCCCGCCTCCCCCAAAAGGGGGCGGGGGGTTGAATGTTTTGCCAATGAGCACAATTGTTATTTTGTGTGGAAATTAATTACAAATAATTGCCTTTTTGCACACATTGCCTGCTGCCTTCTTGTTTGCTTTCTTTCCTATGTCAAGTATATATCTTTCCAATATAACATCTGATATAGCAGGGAGGCGCGCTTGTGTATGTATAAAAGAAAGGAACATCAATAAAAGGAGACATCCAATGAGTTAATTTGACATCTTGCATCTTCTTTGTCTTCTCTATTTTTTTTTTGTACAAAGACAAATACTACTATCCAGTCATGCAACATTGTTTTTGTGTGTATGTCGGTGTGTGTCTGTGTGTTAGAGACAAAGGGGGCAGTTAGTTTTTTTTTTCTTTTTTAAGCATTTTGCATCTCCTTTCCAAGCTTGTAGCTCAAAATCTTGTTCCAGTCGATCTTGGTGCGTGTCACAGGAAGCTGGCGGCGTAAGGCTTTGAAGGTAGTGTCCGACATGGTCTGATAGTTCTCATTGATGGCCGTCTGTGCAGGACAACAAAAGGACAATAGACGTGTTACTGGAGTCATCGATATTTATCATTTAAAACGATAGGTACCAGTCAGTGAAAGGACAGCTAAAAATGTCAATAAGACAATTTTCTGTATTCATAAAGTTATTTTAATCTCTAACGTCCGTTTACCAATTTTTATAGGACATGATGCTTAAATTTATCGGCGTGACAGCACACGTGTATGGGGAACAAAATGGTAAATTACACTGAAATGACAAAGGACCTTTGGTATCCTGCTCACAAGCAAACTTGACAAAATATGTTTTACTTTTAAAACCAAGAGAACCATTTATTCCAGGTCCTCCACAATATATAACAATAATACAGTAAATATTTCTTTTGACTGTTCTGTTTGTTTGTTTTTGACAGGCATGTAAAATGACAGATCAATAATTGTATATATATTTTTTTACTAACATCTATTGCATCCTTCTGAGTTTGCTCAGCAACGTCAAGTGAAAGCACAATGCATTTTTCTGCTTAAAACATTTTTAGGTGAAAGGACTCCAGAAGTTCCTATGCAGCCAGCGTGCAACCAAATATTACCCCCCAAAAAGTAAATGCATGTCTTAAATAATAGCTATTGCCACATTTAACAACCCCTGACATTACCTCCCTCTAGAATGTGCTTCACCTTTTTTCATTTGACTCTTCAATTTATTTGTGGACAGGCATGTAAAATGACACAAAAATTGAACAATATCAGCAGCTAAAAAAGCTTCAACTGTCAAATTTCCTTCTTTGACACATTGCTTATTATCGAGCTGATGCTTTCAACATTATTGACTGTTTGAAAAGGCAAACTGTGGCATTTAAAATGACTCATTTGGACTCCAAATATCTACATTAGATCACATTGAAAAAACAAAATCATCTTCACTTAGAGAGAACACCAGAAATTCTGAGACTCATTGGATAGAAAATTTGTTATTTAATGCAACATAACTGTGACCGAGTTACAATGATGTCATGGAAATAACCACCACACTGACAGAGGATGTGTCATACAGTTATATATATATGTATATATATTACAGTGTCTCGTTTTTTTTTTTGTCATATAATACAGTCGGTCAGGTTCTGTCAAGTAAAAATAATCACAGGAGGAGAAGTGATACTTTTTTGTTGTTGTTTTACTTGTTTTTATTGTCATTTTTGATATTACTGGATGCAGCGCGGGACCAGTTAGTGAAGCTTGTCGGGCTGCTGGAGACTGATGAAGGCCGTACAGTCTGTCAGGAGAGAGAAAAACAGGACAAGCAGTGGAAGAAGAGTCCCCGCCTCCCCCAAAAGGGGGCGGGGGGTTGAATGTTTTGCCAATGAGCACAATTGTTATTTTGTGTGGAAATTAATTACAAATAATTGCCTTTTTGCACACATTTTTGCCTGCTGCCTTCTTGTTTGCTTTCTTTCCTATGTCAAGTATATATCTTTCCAATATAACATCTGATATAGCAGGGAGGCGCGCTTGTGTATGTATAAAAGAAAGGAACATCAATAAAAGGAGACATCCAATGAGTTAATTTGACATCTTGCATCTTCTTTGTCTTCTCTAGTTTTTTTTTTGTACAAAGACAAATACTACTATCCAGTCATGCAACATTGTTTTTGTGTGTATGTCGGTGTGTGTCTGTGTGTTAGAGACAAAGGGGGCAGTTAGTTTTTTTTTTCTTTTTTAAGCATTTTGCATCTCCTTTCCGAGCTTGTAGCTCAAAATCTTGTTCCAGTCGATCTTGGTGCGTGTCACAGGAAGCTGGCGGCGTAAGGCTTTGAAGGTAGTGTCCGACATGGTCTGATAGTTCTCATTGATGGCCGTCTGTGCAGGACAACAAAAGGACAATAGACGTGTTACTGGAGTCTTTTTTTTTTTCTTTCCCTCCCCACAATTTGTGATACCTTGGCAAACACACTATTTGTTTCACGACCACACACACAGTAACTCACTTTTTATCCATTTGAAATGCCATTGATCTGTTGCAGTTGCTGCCAAAGCGAACATGTATGTGTTTTTAATTGAGAAGAATGGCACTGAATAGGTAGGGCTTGCACAATTTACGGGTTTTTTTTTGAGGGCTGAGCAAATTTTTTTCAACAAATTATAACTGACATCACACTTTCAAGTCGCAAATGTTGCAATTTGGGGAATAAAAACGTTCTTCACTACTGTTTTATTTTATTTAGGGTTTAGATGTGTTCAGTGCACGTTTACTTATCATTGTTACTTCTCTTTAGATGTTGCCATTTAAAAATTTTTTGTATGCCCCGATCAATAAACAGCTTAAAGTACAACGGTAACTGTGGCTCTTTTTGGCTCAGCAACGTCAAGTGAAAGCACAATGCATTTTTTTAATTAAACCATTTTAGGTGAAAGGACTCCAGAAGTTCCTATGTAGCCAGCGTGCAACCAAATACTGTATTACCCCCCAAAAAGTAAATGCATGTCTTAAATAATAGCTATTGCCACATTTAACAACCCCTGACATTACCTCCCTCTAGAATGTGCTTCACCTTTTTCATTTGACTCAATTTATTTGTGGACAGGCATGTAAAATGACACAAAAATTGAACAATATCAGCAGCTAAAAAAGCTTCAACTGTCAAATTTCCTTCTTTGACACATTGCTTATTATCGAGCTGATGCTTTCAACATTATTGACTGAAAAGCCAAACTGTGGCATTTAAAATGACTCATTCGGACTCCAAATATCTAAATCAGATCACATTGAAAAAAACAAAATCATCCTCACTTAGAGAGAACACCAGAAATTCTGAGACTCATTGGATAGAAAATTTGTTATTTAATGCAACATAACTGTGACCGAGTTACAATGATGTCATGGAAATAACCACCACACTGACAGAGGATGTGTCATACAGTTATATATATATGTATATATATTACAGTGTCTCGTTTTTTTTTTTGTCATATAATACAGTCGGTCAGGTTCTGTCAAGTAAAAATAATCACAGGAGGAGAAGTGATACTTTTTTGTTGTTGTTTTACTTGTTTTTATTGTCATTTTTGATATTACTGGATGCAGCGCGGGACCAGTTAGTGAAGCTTGTCGGGCTGCTGGAGACTGATGAAGGCCGTACAGTCTGTCAGGAGAGAGAAAAACAGGACAAGCAGTGGAAGAAGAGTCCCCGCCTCCCCCAAAAGGGGGCGGGGGGTTGAATGTTTTGCCAATGAGCACAATTGTTATTTTGTGTGGAAATTAATTACAAATAATTGCCTTTTTGCACACATTGCCTGCTGCCTTCTTGTTTGCTTTCTTTCCTATGTCAAGTATATATCTTTCCAATATAACATCTGATATAGCAGGGAGGCGCGCTTGTGTATGTATAAAAGAAAGGAACATCAATAAAAGGAGACATCCAATGAGTTAATTTGACATCTTGCATCTTCTTTGTCTTCTCTAGTTTTTTTTTTTGTACAAAGACAAATACTACTATCCAGTCATGCAACATTGTTTTTGTGTGTATGTCGGTGTGTGTCTGTGTGTTAGAGACAAAGGGGGCAGTTAGTTTTTTTTTTCTTTTTTAAGCATTTTGCATCTCCTTTCCGAGCTTGTAGCTCAAAATCTTGTTCCAGTCGATCTTGGTGCGTGTCACAGGAAGCTGGCGGCGTAAGGCTTTGAAGGTAGTGTCCGACATGGTCTGATAGTTCTCATTGATGGCCGTCTGTGCAGGACAACAAAAGGACAATAGACGTGTTACTGGAGTCTTTTTTTTTTTTCTTTCCCTCCCCACAATTTGTGATACCTTGGCAAACACACTATTTGTTTCACGACCACACACACAGTAACTCACTTTTTAGCCATTTGAAATGCCATTGATCTGTTGCAGTTGCTGCCAAAGCGAACATGTATGTGTTTTTAATTGAGAAGAATGGCACTGAATAGGTAGGGCTTGCACAATTTACGGGTTTTTTTTTGAGGGCTGAGCAAATTTTTTTCAACAAATTATAACTGACATCACACTTTCAAGTCGCAAATGTTGCAATTTGGGGAATAAAAACGTTCTTCACTACTGTTTTATTTTATTTAGGGTTTAGATGTGTTCAGTGCACGTTTACTTATCATTGTTACTTCTCTTTAGATGTTGCCATTTAAAAATTTTTTGTATGCCCCGATCAATAAACAGCTTAAAGTACAACGGTAACTGTGGCTCTTTTTGCGCATATGGCGCTACCCGAATGGCATTTTTTTTTTCTTCACTGGGGCAGCAGTATATCTGAAGCATGCCTACCCAAATTCGTTCAAAAGAGCCAACAACAACTCTTATCGCAATAAAACATCTTGGTACTACTACATATATATTTTGAAGTGTGCGCATTGTGATCACATACCTGATATTCGCTCTCTGCGGCCCCCATGATCTTGACAAACCTTTCTGCGGTTGTGACCTCATTCTGGAAAGACATCGGTGGATAGAGATTATTATTAATATAGAGTCCCTGCTTAGATTAAGAAGTGGTGGACCAGGTGGTGGAACTCACAGAAATGGACATGGTCTCCTTCACCTCCTTGTGGCTCACCAGCTGAACGTTGCCGTCCTCATAGTAATGAACCTGCATAGGTGGACGAGGACACCTTAAGCGGGTGCGAGAGTGCCAATGACAGTAGCTGAGGCGTCCACTTACCTGAATCTTCATGATTCCTGCCACGTCGGTGGAGGATGGAGAGATGGTGAATTTCCATTCTGACCTCCAGCGTCCATTCCTAAACACAGAAGGAGAAAAAAAAAAGACACATGGCTCTTGAAAGAAGCCACCCCAAACTGCCCTTTGCCCCTTCTGCTGTTGAGTAAATAAAAGAATTAAAAGGTACCAGAAGTTTTTGGGCTGAAACTGATGGCACTCGACGCACACGATGATGGTCTGATGCCCATCGATGGTTTTGCCGTAAATCTGAGGGGGGGAAAAATATTGAAATATTTTGGAGGACACTGTGGCTTCATGTCTGAAAAGTAGATTTTGAGAAAAGCTGCAATTTTACGAGGGTGGGTCATTATATCAAAAGATTTTGGGGGCGGTTTTAGGAGAAAAACAATGGTACTACATTAAAAATGGTAATTTTTCAGAGCGTACAGTGCAGACTCCGTTAGGGTAATGCTCCTTGACGTAAGCCCTGACGGCGGTGTCCACGGCGCTCCTCCACTCCTCCATGGAGACGTCCACATCGTGACGCCGGGGGTCGCTGGCCTCCTTCCTCAGGTGGTCAAAGGAGAAGGAGATCTTGTTCTTGGGGTCCAGGACGCGGCCGTTCCCCAGATCCCCGTGCTCTGTGATTAAGACCTGCCAACGAGGACCGCATTTTTATGAATTTATCATTTTTGTGAAATGACTTTTTTTTCCCCCTCCTGAAAACATTCAACTTTATACAGTAGTTCAACAAAATAAAAAAATAAAAAAATCACAATCACAATCCTATTTCAATTAAAGACATTTTGTCTCTCGTAAATATACATAATTTTCTTCCTTGAAGGAAAAAAATTGTTTTCTCAAAAGAATATAGCTTTTGTCTTATCCATATTTTTTCTTGTAAATCAAAAAAATTTTCATGAAGAATTTAAGCTTTTTTTTTTAAACTTTATATGATATTGTGTTGCTGAAGTGGCCTATAAATGAAGCACGCACTACAACTACTGTGGAACGGCCTTTCCATCACGTTGTCATGTACATCGACACTTCAGCAGTGCCGCCGGGAACGCGGGGCGGCGGGGGAATGAACGCACTGAGTGGGAACGCTGAGACATGATGACACACAGACGTAACATCTCTGCAATCATTGCTGGCGTTGCTGAGCATTTGCTCAGCCACAAATCGACAAGGGCCAACAAACGCAATGATGTCATGGAAGGCAGAATTGCGAGCCATCAAATCGTGTGATTTGAATCTTTTTGAGAATATGTATTGAAGTAAAAAAAAAAAAAGATAGATTTTTTAAGTCACCTGGTCATCGTAGCCCTCAACTTTCGCGGGGGTAAACTGGTCCAAGTTGTACTGTGCAAATGCACTGCAAAGGGAGGAGGAATAAAAAAAGTGAATGAAAATGACAAATGAATATCTCGTTTAACTTTGCAAATGTTGACTTTTCTTTCCAAATAACCTACACTCAGTCCCCTGTGACAATAAATGAAGGCATGTTTGATTTTTCAAGGACACCTTTTTCTTTTGCATCTGGTTACTGCACAATGCCGACTGAATGCTGACCAGTGTCTTCATCCCAACAAGTCAGTTGCTTTTGCTTCAAGGTTGGTTGTGCCATATTATTTGGCCAATGGCATGTTCTGATTTTGTAACCATTAAATCCAGCGAGTTCTGTTCGATGCACAGAAGCCAATGTAAATCTGTGCATCGGACAGAACTCGATGTATCGCTGCTTCCATTTCGGGTCGTGTAGTTTGCTTGCTTTAAAGTGGCCGTAGATATTCAGCCACCCGATCTGATCATCCCACGGGCAGAGAAACTCAGCATGCAGAAAAGACGAGTTTTTCAGATTTTAACTACAGAAAAACCTGTGAACTTTTCGACCAGATTGCAATTTACCGCAGCCGTGCGGCGGAGCACTTACTGCGTCGCGCCTTCCCTGAGGAGATTGTCATCGTCGAGCAGCAATCGCACATCTACAAACACAGCAAAGGAGACAAGGAGGGATTAAGGGGGGAGAGGGCGAGTCATTCAGAGCAAATGAACAAGAGTGGAACGGGGTGTTAAATCCCATAAAGATCACGGTGGACCAAGTGGCGACAAGGGGATTGATTGTGTTCAAGTGCGTGTGTGGCTGCGTGTATCTGTCAAGGGGAGATAAGACAAATTCAAACGCATGCAAGCGGGATGAAGCTTTCATGACACTTCCAGCTGTCCCTGCAGGCCCGGCTGACAGTTTATCCCAAACAACAATGCATTAGTGGCAGCTCTCAACCACTGCGTGTATGGGCCATAAGTCAGAATACTCAGCGAAACACATCTTGCTGCTGTAATAGAGTTTTAATGGTGCACGGAAGAAAAAAAAAAGTCGGAGCTGTACGCCATAATATTGCGGTGTTTCTTTTTCTTTTTTTTTGGTAACATTACAGTACCGGTACTAAAATATCTACACCAAGGGTGCCCAACCAGTGGGGTGGAGGGTGTAATGGGGGTAAAATAAATAAATAAATGAGTGTCTGTGTGCGTGTTAATAATATCACGTTTACGTGCGGTAACGGGTCGACCGCAGGAGGTTGGTTTCTTGAAAAGTAGACCTTCAGTCTACCCCGATATACATGGTGGACCCAGGCTATTTGCAGGGTAGAGAGACCAGGCCAGCACATGAATAGTGAAAATCTGCGTAGAATTGATGCCCATTTAAAAAAAGAATAATAATAATTAAAAAATAATAATAAAGGTTTGATCCAAAACCCACTGATATGTATTGCAGGTCAACTGCGGGAAGCTGGCATCTTGAAAAGTAGGATCTTGGGTCAAAATAGGCCGGGCTTTAGAAGCTTCAATGTTTTTTAATGTGGAATGAAAAATGCATGCAAGCACGGGGAGACTATGCAAACGCCTTACAGGAGGGCTGGACTCATGATTTGAAACTGGAACCCCAGAGATGTAAAGCACACGTCATGCCAACCAGTCAGTCAACCACTGTGCTGCCCACATTATATACAGATGTAATCTAATGATAATAATAATATTTTTTTAAAAAGCATAAAACTTACCATTGAAAACTTCATTGAACTCTCCTGGTGGGGCATGAATGATGAATGCAGCTGCGATGCGCAACTGCAGGCAAGACACAAAATGGAGGTTTAGACAAACGGCACTGGGCTCAACATTCTGACTTGAGCTTGGACACTGTCCCCATGTAAAATATCTTTTTAATTTTTTTTTCCTGTGAAGAGAATGAATGAATAAATGAGGAAAGAACCTAATTCATGTTGATAGACGGGGCATGTCTCCACACGCAGAATTTCTCCATCTACATTTCTCTGCTGCTGCCGCTTTTGCACGACACATCCTGTTTCTCGGTCACATGACAAAAAGACGACGGCCCATCCCTCCCCCGCATGGCACTCGACCATATAAGGACATGAAAATGTGCTGAGAAAGAGTTGCCGGAATCGTTGGCGGCACCCGACGGCTCGGCCAGGTTCTCGCATGTCGGTGAGCGGGAGTAAGGTGCGGGTGTTAGGGTGCATGTCAGAGCAGTGTGTGTGTGTGTGTGTGTGTGTGTGTGTGTGTGTGTGTGTGTGTGTGTGTGTTGCAGAGCATTTTGTTGTTGGTTGTGTGCCTGAGGTGGAGATCAAAGCGTTGGCTATTTTGGTGTGACGTGGCAATTTGAAAAGAAAAAAAAAGTCAGGGATTCAAATTAAACACACCACTAGTTGGGAAGTTCATCTAAAACAGGGGTGTCTAACTCATTTTTGTCGCAGGCCACTTTGGGGTTACGTCTTCACTTGGAGGGCCGTTACGACAGTGAAACTGAATAAATGTTTAATCATCACATCGTATTATTACTTGTACGCAAAAAAAAAAATAATGGCTCACTAGTTTTGAAATCAGTCAAGTATTTGTTCAATTATTGTTCAAGTGAGTGCAAACCGAGTCACAAAGTTATTGCAAAATGTCACCGTTATTTATTTCGGTACAAATTTAAGCAGATTTAAGCAAGGGTCATGGAAGTTGACATGTATGATTTGCTTTCGCGGGCCAAATAAAATGATGCGGTGGGCCGGATCTGGCCCCCGGGCCTTGGCTTTGACACCTGTGATCTAAAAGGAACCAGGAGGAGGACATTTTGTTGGCCAGTCGGGTTGATCACCAAAACGTTTTTTTTTTAAATACGAAGTATTGGGGCACGACTCATTTAAGATTGTAAGTAGGACTGCGGCGATCAAATGTTTTTAGAAATGATAATTCGACATCATCCCATTGATGAATCCGATTTTATATTTGAAAGCAACAAAATGTGGACTTGATATTCAGGTTTTTTTTTGAGGCTGTCACTACTGAATCCTTTTAGAATCGATTATAAACTGAAAATGTTCTGGATGAATGACATGCACGCCACTGAAACATCGGGGAAAATTTTTTGTGTCGATTTATTTATTTTTTTTAGGTTGACTTTGTCTACCTTTTTTTTCCCCCAGCCCAAGTAGAGTTTGCTGTTGTGATCTCAGGTTAGCGGCGGTTAACCATTCGTGAGTTAAAGTCTGGTGAACAGGAGGTCTTTTTTTTTTCTTGGTGCAAGGCGCTACATAAGACTAATACTAATAATAAGAAGTAATTTGATTTGTTTAACCAGGTAAGGCCATTGAGAGCAATTTGTCATTTACAATGCCGACCTAGTCAAAACTTAGGGTTCAGTATCTTGCGAAAGGACAACCTTGAAAGTGGACGGTTGGAGCCCGGAATTAAAACAACAAAGCCTTCCGCCACCGTACCGCTCTCCTAAAAGAGCCACGGCCAACTAAGAACAATTGCACAAAATGCTTTTCGTCCACGAGGTGGGACCGCGGGGGCAAGAGCTGCAAGTGAAAATGAGTTTTTGAGAACCCTTCAATGAAGGCGCACAAGCGCCGACATGAAAACTCGACGCGTAGAAGCCGGAGTCGACAGGCATTCCTGGAACATTCTTGTTTTGTGGCGACACACCTAACAACCCCTACCGACTGAGCGTTGGTCTGCGGTCGGTGTTGAATCGAGATTTGGTTGGTTTACACTTGTGCGTTGAATATCAGGCCGGCCACTGCAGAGCTGATTTATCTACTCTGGAAATCCCCATTTGAATTAGTGTGACAGACAAACATTTTATTTGAGAGGCTGCTGCAGCAAAGTAGAAATTGGATTATTAAACAAAGCAGCGGAGGTGTTTATTTTCTTATGTCTAGCAGTCAAACCAAATCTAAGACGACGCTTGTATCAACTCAGATCAGAACTGTGCCACTGCTTGGCCAAGCCGCAGTTGATTACAACCTGCACCGAAACTCAGCTAAAGCCTGAAAAATTCACCGATTGAGTTCTGTGCTCTTTCTCAAATGCTGCTTCGAGACTAGTAAAGGCACACCGAAGATATTATTCTCCAGACCATTTTGGAGTTGACTTCTTGACTAAACGAGCAGTACTTGATTTTTTTCAGTTAACAATATAGCTGCTTTCAAAACATGCAATATGAAAAAAAAAAAATACAATAAATACTTGAGTTGGAACCTTTTCAAATTTATTTTCATGAATAACAACTGGTGGATTTATGAGTCATAAATCTTGCATGGCCGAATGCAGCCAAGTGGGACAACGATGATATATATCTGACACGGTTCGTGAAGGCTTTATGAAATCATTCATGAAACATTAAGTGACGGTTCAATTCAATTTACTTTTATTTATAAGGCACCAAATTGTAAGACTAAGCGAGCCCCGACCGAACCCCACACACAAGCAAAGACGAGGCGACGGAGGGATGGAAAAACTCCCTCTCAGGTAAAAAGACTCAAAGTGACTCAAGACTCAAAGTGGGGTGGCCGCCTGTCGTTTCTTGGTTTCGCAAAGCCGATCCACGCAGCTCACAAAAACAGCGTCGGGGTGTGTTATGACGGGACGGCCGTTTTGCCGGCTAGAGGAGTGAGCGAGATCGATACTTTTGAGCTGAGACGAATAAGATCGATTTCCAAACTTGACACAGGGATATGTTGGATACTTCAGTCATCTGATACGCTGGATTTCCAGTACGGTGCCACATAGGAACTTGGCACAATGGTATCGATGAGCAGACGCACACGAGAACCAAAGCAGCAGCAGAGTGGCTTTCGGTGAAGCAAGTTATTCATTTACTGCGAGCAGTTTGAAGTTTACGTTTTTTTTTTAATATATCATTAAATGTTCCTCTTTAGACAAAAGAAAAGGACTTCTGTTTAGCATTCTGGTCCACTTGCTGTACCAAACTTTGATCAGATAAGTCTTCATTTTTGGCAAACCGTAAGGTAACACCATTACTAACGGTCAGTGTTTCCGCAATGTTTACTGTACACAGCCCACCATTGAGGCAATTTTAGAGTTTTAAGTCCAAGTAACACCCTGAAATTGACCTCAATGTTTTGTTCTAATGCGATCAAAAACGTCTTATCAGGCCTTTCCAGATCCACCAAATTATTGTACATCTCACCACGGTATAAAAACCTCAACGTGAGGTTATAACTTGACGCTTTTTAAGCCGCTTGATCTGTGCTTGCTTTCATTTGCAGCCAATTTTTTTAAGCAGATTTGTAAGGCTATCGACACAGACAGCCTCATTGAAAGGTCTGGTGAAAATAGTGAGGAATTTTAAATCGCAAGTGTGACAGCAGAGACAGAGATGAATGAGGGATGGTCGTTAAGCAGCTGCAGGCGAACGGAACCCCCCGCCCCCAAACTTCCTGATCTGAGAATGAATCTTGAGCAATTTATCTGATTCCAAAGGAGGAATTGAGGACTTTTAAAAAAATGATGACACACAAAATGATTTCCGTTCGCCTGCTGCCTCATGCTGCGATGATTAAAAATAGCATCAAAGAGGAATTCTTCGGGTGAATCCCAGAACGCGGGTTGTCACGCTACTCTGCAGGCACAATAAAAAAACAAACAAACAGGACACCATTTAAGACAGACAATTCTAAACCGCAATCCATCGGAAGGAGGTTCGTAGCAGAAACGGCAAGTGTTGCGATAGGTGCAAAGGCAGTGACGGAAAACTTCTTGAAGACCAGACAAGCCAGATGGACTAAGTTGGTTAATCGGTATACACTGCTAACCGGAATTACAGTCGCGTATGAAAAATTACAACGTGACAAAATACTGCCGGTATGCAATACGCTTGTCCACGACATAAAACAACATTGCTGCTATACGATATTGTCATAAGCGATACGATACAACACGACACAAAACGGTTACAAAACAACACAACCAGATACCATCGGGAAAGGAGACAACACAAATCGACAAGATGTGTTCCAACCTGTATAAGATACAATATGAGACGCTCTCATGAATAATATGCTAAGACAGGATACTGCGCCACCCATCTGTGATACGTTATACGACAAGATACAGCCAGTATACGGTACGCTACAAAACAATCCGACGCAACACCTGGCATATGACAACACAACAATACTGTTGGTCTACAATTACACAATGTGATGACCGGTCAACAATACAAAACAGCTGGAAGTGATACTAGTGCTATGGCACAATATGACACACTATGATCAATACGGTAAAATACGACAGAGTAATAAAGTATGGGATACTTTGATACGATATGACGCGACCATTATAGAAAATAATACTGTGCGTCATAATAAATTGTATGACGAAAATATGCTGTGACATGAGACGATGGTACATGACACCCTAACACGACACTACGCTTGGCTACAATACAATACGACATCATTCTGTTTGTATACAATGGTATGCGATATTCTCGTCTACAATATGAAGTATACACCGTTATATGCTACAGATAATGCTTGTACACCATACTATGCTTATGACAGTACCGCTGGTATACCAGACCATATTTGGTGATGATGACAGCAAAAATGGTAAGACACAGCACGGCAATACGCTATATATACAATGCCATGGTTTGAGAGGCTTTGATATGATTCTGCTGGGATACGAAATTATACTAAACATAATGATTCTTAAAAGAATAAGATACAACACAACTTACAGGATATTACGGGATACAAAATGGTATCCTTCAATACGCTGAGTTACGACTCGGTAGTGGTGTAAAGTTTTGTTCCTTTATTGCTTCCAAACTGGAAGGACGCTGACAGGCAGCCGACAAGTCCTTTTGAGATGCAATGATGTTACAGTGCAAACAGATTGACTCACCAGTTTCCTGTTGTACACTGTGTGTGTGTGTGTGTGTGTGTGTGTGTGTGTGTGTGTGTGTGTGCGCGCGCGCGTGTGGTTTTAGCTTATGCTGCCACCAGGAAGCTCATATAAAGAAAGTCAAGAAGAAGCCATTCGTTTGCCAGTAAGCATTTACGTACACTTGCTATTCTTTTCGACAACCGTGCAGCGATTTCAGGCAGACGACTTTTTCTGAGAAATATCGGCCGGCGGATGAAGGAGCAATGACGTCACAGCTCGACCCGAAGAGCAAAGCTGCTCAAGGGCCGATTGCCACGAACAAAAAACATCAATTCATAGATGCCCCCCCCCCCCACCACCACCAAGTAGCTGTTCAGCCAAGTACTTCCACTCCTGCCAATAACGATCATGGCCTTTCTCTGCATCATCTTGAAAAGTTTACCACAACCTTCAGTCACGCTGCTTTTTGCTGTCAAGCCGGACAGCAATCACCCAATCACCAACGCTCGACTAGCTATTTGAGCCCCATCTTCAGGTATAAGTTTTGGTGAAGCGCGAGCGTCAGATATTCTGCTGCTCCAGTAAAGTGGGGGGAAAAAAGCGTGAACAATTTAGGCAATATTCTTGCATATGAGCAAGGAGAGGCGCAGAGAAGCGCAATGCACTTTCCAACCATTTATTGAACGAGATAGTCAAACACAAAGACAAAATGAGAAAACTTGCAAGGAGCTGCTGTAGACCACAGCTCACAAAAAAACGGCCAACCCGATTGCTGTGTAAGGTCACTCATTAGGCCACGCCCCTTAAAGGCATATGAAAACTGCAATACGTGCTGTATTACATTTCGTAAAACCAGTTGGTTGAGGTATTTGACAGTTTGTCTAATGAGCCAATACGTTCAGTTAAGCAGTTGGTTAGTAGATACATCCATATAAGTACACAACAATTATGTTTCGACGATGAACACAGAAGCACCTATTCCAGGCAACTTCCTGAAACGTCGTGACTTGTTAACGACACACACACGCAGATTGAGGTGACACACAATTTTGAATTGTGTAAAAAATACGGTCGCAAGCGTACAAAACAGAAAAGCGGCATGAAAACAGCAAAAGGGCGTGTTAGTCAGTTTAGCTAACTGTTAGCCACCGAGCGGCTAAATGCTAAACTACGGGAGCTAACGTTGCAAAAACTTTGCCAAGACAGACAACAAGCGACGCGCAACGCGGAGAAATAATGCGCGATATGTTATCTCGACTGATTTTATAACGGCAACGGGGCTCCTATTTTCAGCCAGCACCGTACAAGGAGTCTCCGTTTGGAGCTTCGCTAAAATGAGCGGAAGTTGAGCTAAAAATAAGAAGAGTGGCGGCGGCAGGCAGGCCCGCGAATTCCGCTCGTTAAATAAACACGTTCGTCATTCGAAGCACGTCCAAAACATGGCCAAGTGCCACCTGAGAAAACCGCGGCTCGTCTAATCCTAAAAGCGCTTAGTTTGGCAGATTAAAAAGTATTCGTACCTTATCCTCGTTGCTGATCGGCTCGTCTTGATCCGCCATCTTTTCATCCGGCACCACCAGCTTGTCAGAGCGATGTGACGTCATCACATGGGTGGTTCCCCTCAGTTTGGCTCGGCTCATGCGCGGGGCCATCTGCGCGCGCACACGCACACACACAAACGCACGCACACACGGTGACTGTACTTGTGTAATAATATTCCATCAATCCATCGATCTATCCACCCATTAATAATAATAATAATAATAATAATAATAATAATAATAATAATAATGATACGAGTCTGTTTTCTGCATAGAAATAAAACGAAATACAGTAGAGGCCATCATTCCAGTGCAGTACGAAAGGCGTTGCAGTATTCTCAATTCAACTTTATCGACAGAGAATTAAAAAAAAAAAAAAACAACCACAACTGAAGCTAAGTTGTATACATCAAAATGACATAAAACAAAGCAATTTCACATCAGAATAAAACAACAACAAAGTCAAAATCAATAAAAACATCCTTTGCCAGTGAGTCTTCGGTAGTACCACTTCCATGCTTCTCCACTAGATGGGAATAGAAGACAGGATTAAAAAAGTCATTTTTTATATGACAGTGAAATTGAAGAAAAATGAGCTGTGGTTGGTTAAACGTTATCACGTAGGCACTTCAAACTAGTTAGTTACAACTAGCCTTGCCGAGCTCCACGTGCCTTTCACCTCATGATTAGCAATAATAATAATATGATATGACTCTATGCGCTGGGATAAGATTTTATACAACTCAAAACATTCACACCTCAAAACATCTTTATCTCTGCGATAAATTTAAACGTTATTAATTTGTTCTAGCCTTATCTCCCCCCCAAAAACATTTTGCAAAACTGCAGAAAAACTCCTAAATCCGGTGACTTATATCTAAAGCACAGGTATCAAAGTCAAGGCCCGGGGGCCAGATCTGGCCCACCACATCATTTTATGTGGCCCGCGAAAGAAAATTTAGCATGTCAAGTTCCATGATGTTTGCTAAAGTCTGAACCAAAATTTCAAATTGTCATATGTAATCCACAATAACAGTCAGTATTCTTGACTTCTGATTTTAGAAACTAGTTATTCATCAATTTGTTGTGCGCTGCGTATGTAATATGTGGAGGTGATTAAACATTTATATGGTTTCCCAAAATTCATAACGGCCCTCCATGTCAAACCGTAACTACAATGTGGCCCACGACAAAAATGAGTTTGACACCCCTGATCTAAAGGCAACATAGTACTGTATTCATCTTATTTCATACATATACAATAAAATACGATGCACTACTCTAATCTACACAATACTACACTACAATATCCCATGACACACTATGCTATTTTGTGCATTTTTGGGGGTGGGGGGAGGCGATCCTCCCTCTATTTGCTGAAATACTCATATACTTGTCGTTTTTGTTCTGAGGCCAAAAAGTGTCATATAACACTTTGACAACATTTCAAAGCATTCTGGTACCAAGGTACCAAACTCTGCAGGCAATTATAAAACTGTGTGTGTGTGTGTGTGTGTGTGTGTGTGTGTGTGTGTGTGTGTGTGTGTGTGTGTGTGTGTGAGTATGTGTGTGTGGTTTTTCAATATTAATGTAGTTACCATGTATGATATGATATAATAGAACACAGATAATAAAAAAATGTGCCCAGCATCCCGAGGTTTATTGTGTTGTGCAGTGTTGTAGTGTGTCACGTGGCATTTTATAGTATCATGTTGAATCTTATCAGATCACATAGCATCACATTATATCCTCATGTATGATATCTTGTCTACTTTTGGAGCAGTTGGGTGGAGTTCATGTCTTGCTAGGGGGCACCCCCAGTTGCCACACGCGTCGCCGTGCAACCTAGCTGGGGATTTGAAATGACGGCACAAGCCTGAGGAGGCGTTCTAGCGGCCTCAAACTTGAAAATATCCCGCAGTGTGCCACAAAGAGACTCAAAGCAGCATTGAGGACTCGTGAAAGGGGTCTTCTGTGACTCAGTGACAGTCTCTGCTGAGTCATGACACTATTCCCGCCTGGACAATCATCACCTCGAGGGAATATCAAAGACACAGCATAATGAAGGGTGAGGATGAAAGAGTACAGTGTAACTTTTCTTTTTGTCTCCCAGAATGTCCTTGGCAGCGCTTGCGAGCACAAAGAGGTGGAGACACAACTGATAGTCTTGGGACTGCTACACTGCATGGAATAGCAGAAAGTGAGCTTATTAAAAGGTGAGTAAGAAGCTCCAATGTGACATCGTGATGCATAAGCAAGATGGTGTCTTTTATTTCTACTGAGCTCACCAACTTCTTGGCGTTAGTCAGTTTTCCAAGAAGCAAGTCGGCGGAAAAAGCGCTGCAGACCTCATCAGGATCGCTCATTAGAGTTCAGGAAACTCAAAAAATAAAGAGCAGACAAAAGGCAAAAACCCGATACGACCTTCGTCCGCCAGCTCCTTCCAGTATTGTCTGGAAATCTGTAGGGTTTTTGGTCTGACGTTTGCAGGAGGTGAAAATGCGTTTTTCACTTCAAAAATAGCCAATGACATCCAACTTTATATGATACAATCGGACATGGTAAAAAATATTGTACGGTGTCATATTATACAATAAAATGCAGTCAAGTGTGGTACAGGTTGGTGCATTGTGGTATACCACACAATGCAATATGATTTAATGCACTGTGATATTCATACAGTAGTGTACTGTAATACAATACAATAGTGGTATGATGGGATAAGACAATGCAAGACAACATGATCACATACAATTCAGTTTGGTGCTGTATGCTACATGACAAGATGCTGTTAGGTCGTGTAAAATACATTATGCTGTATGACCGTAAGATGTGGTCCGATATGATAAAATACAGCAAGGTAAAAGATAGCACACGGATATGATAGGGTGTAATGCATTCATTAATTACTCCAAAATATCTACAAACAGATGATGCATGAATGCTAAGATATGATTCGGTACTGCATTATACAGCATGGAAGAATATACTTTAAGATGCATGATATATAGAAGGATAAAATACAAGAAGATCCAGTTAAATGCAATATAATACGGTATAGAATGGAGAGGAACGGTACTTGGAATGTGATATGACACAATATGTGAATATATATATATATATATATATACAGTACCAAAAAATAAATTAAGAGCGTGCTTTGACCAAAAACTATTTCCTACAATGCCTTTCGACGACGCTAGCTGCGGCAGTGTCCATGCCAACGAGTGGAATTGAGATATAAATAATGATCGCAAAATGCCCAGAAAGAGAAATATATATATATATATATATATATATTCCAGTTTCACCATGTCTTTCTGCGCGTCTTACGTTTGACAAGATATGAGGAGTGAAAAGTAGATATGAAAAGTTATGAGAAGATTTGAGCTCTCATCAGGGGTCCGACTCTGACTTGCACTCCCTTGGAATTCCTGACTACGTGTGCCCACACTCCCTGTCCTTTTTACACGTTTGGATGAGTGATGGTGGAATGATTCAGGTGTGGAAAATCAGACGGGCCCACATAAGGAATGTAAGCTGATCTCATGTGAAAAGCTGTTCAAATGGCATTCAGCAGGGGAAAAAAAAAGAAACCCTCAAAAACATCAATTGTCGAATTGAATGGCGGTCTCACAAATAAACAATACTAGACGATGCAATATGATGTGATTAAAACAATATGGTACGATATCATAAGTGTCCAGTACAGTACAGTGCTGTACAATACGGTATGATATCATACCGTAAGATATGACATATGATATAATACGCAACAATATAATGTGATGCAGTACATATGAAATAATAGTTTCTGGGATGTACCGTGCGGTCTGATACGATGCACTCCAGGGTATGATAAGACTAAAAATAAATGAATAAAGTTAAGTTACGATACATCTGTACATGACATAGAATGCTGTATCATATGATACGACATGGTCAAAAATATGATATGCGACAATACAATAAGATATACTAAGGTCTGGTATTGTACAATATGATATAATGCGATGCAATGCAACAATACTGTGGTGTGGCTCACTATGGAGCAATAACATACAATGCATCATGATACAATGAGGTGCTTGCTGTGCGATACAATTACGATATGATGGAACGCATTCCATGCAATGTGAATTGTGAGATACGATATGTGACTATGTGATGTGATAAGATGCAAAACGAGACAAAATGCTGTCATACAATTCAGTACAATGCTGTAGTGTAGTCCAATTTGATACGAAACATTTCGATACACGGTATGATACAGTAAGATACAGTAGGATCGATATGGTATCGTCCGATACGGAATGATACAATGTGGTGCAATGTGCATATGCTATAAAAATATGATATGGTACAATAATACAGTATATGATATACAATACTGATATGTGGTACAATAAAATATGATACTGTGCTATGTAAGACATACAACACATCAAATTCATCACATTTATGAACAACTTTTTTCCAAGTTTTGAATAGCAAAAGAAATAAAGCATTCCCTGCACATGCGCAGCCTGTCAATAGGGGGCGTTCTGTGTCAGCGTGTTCAGCGCGTGTGTGTGTGTGTGTGTGTGTGTGTGTGTGTGCGTGCGTGTGTGTGTGTGTGCGTGCGTGCGTGTGTGTGTGTGTGTGTGTGTGTGTGTGTGTGTGTGTTACCACTCAGTGCCATCCGCCTCCCTGCTTTCTCTCATGCCAAAGCCCATTAAGAGCTTCGAATGGGTGCACGTTGACTCAGTAGGTCAGAATGTTACTTGACATTCTTTTGGTGGCGTTATCTCACGATAACATACAAAAACAGCGTGCCAACGCGTGTCCATGTTTGTGTGAAACTGTACCCTAACGGATTTATTCGGGACTCATTGCTCATCAGGTTCAGCAAGTGTGCTTTGTTCCACGGGTTTCCACTGGGTTGGGAAAAATTCTATGATCTATTAAGTACACAGAGTACCTCATGCTGCATTCCATATACATGAAAAGTGGGAAATGTTCAACTTCAGGCCGGGGGGGTGGAGTTTGGGAATGGTGCAGAGTTGCTTCTGAGTGCACCATATCAAACTGTACCTTTTTCTACGGTAAATAGACCCAACC